GTAACGAAATAATTTGGATATATCAACAAAGTTGAAATGGTAAATTGGCCACCGTAACGATTACAAAAGCTGACGTTTCGAGCGTTAGCCCTTCGTCGGAGCGAATAGAGGAATTGTGGGTTGTGTGTGCTTTTAAAGGCAGAAAATGGAGCTACGTTATTGGTGGGAACATGGCAACGAGAAAAACACGAATAAATTAGTGGAATGAAAAGCGTTCGTTGATCCCTGTGGGATTTAGACTGCCGGTTTGAAAGATGAGCTTTTGTTCAAGAGTTTTACGGCTTTCCGTGCTACCTAAGTGTAAGGAAAGACCGCAGATTGCCATATGTTGCTTAGAATGATTAGGTAAATTAAAGTGTCTAGCGACTGGTTTCGATGTGTCCTTGTCATTCTTTTCCACGTCTCGAAGGTGTTCTCGGAATCGGTTACCTAGTCTTCTGCCTGTTTCGCCGCTGTATATCTTTTTGCAATAAGTGCAAGTTATGCAATAGATTACATTGGCAATAGATTACATTTTTTTTTGTCATATGTCGTCGATTAAAATGAGTGACTTATTGGTTCTAAGTAGCTTTCGCAGCTAAAACTCCAATTCCAATAGATCGTTCTTTCCAATTAATTTCCTGCCGAAAACGTACGTGTTGTTATTCTATGGTGGCCCACGACTATCACGGCGAAAAGAAATCGCTCACGGCGAAAAGAAATTGCTCACGGCAAAAAGAAATTACTCACGGCAAGAAGAAATTGCTCACGGCAAAAAGAAATTACTCACGGCGAAAAGAAATTCTTACGGCGAAATGAAATTTCTCATGGCAAAAATAAATTACTCATGACGAAAATAAATTACTCACGGCGAAAAAGAAAACTCAGAAACGCCTGGGTAGGGATTGGTTCGAGTTGGCTCAGATTGCATCATGGGTTGAGGTGTTAAAAGAAAAAGGCATGTCCATTTCGATGTAAATGAGTGGCCGGGCATTCTAAACTTAAGCCGACACCAGATTTTCAGAAACAAGTGGTTAAGTAAGTTTAAATCCCATACCTTTGCCGCATTGAGAGCAAAACTTGTCTTCATTCCTTAAACACTGCCCGAAGGTACTGCAAAGCATCGTGCTCCAAGATGGAGTGCTGCACCTCAACCCATGATGGAATCCGAGCCAACTCGAACCAATCCCCACCAAGGCGTTTTTAGTTTTCCTTTTCGCTGTGAGTGATTTCTTTTCGCTGTGAGCAATTTCTTTTTGCCGTGACAGTTGTGGGCCACCGTATTATTCAAACTCACTCACTCGCGGTCTAATATAATTATAATTAATATAATGTAAATAATTTAGTAGAGTAGGATCATTCGTCCCACTTATTTTGTTAACACAATAATTGCAAAAGAGAAAAGTGGATAAATACTGGAATAGTGTCGTAAAGAATCATGCCCAGGTTTGTGCGACGTTTCGTACGGGATATATTCGAAGAAACGTTTCACTTAAGGAAACGCCATGTTTGTGTCCCTCTGAAGGACGACAAAAAATATGGCGGCTGGAAGCTAAAAAACCCTTATGTCATCGAGTTTTGCTTAAAAAAAAAACCGTAGTCTTCAGATAAAAGATTCATATGATAAATAGTTTTTTAATTTTGTTGGGAAAAAATTTTCTCTCACACACGTACCCTTCTAAGAGGGAAGTATCCAAACATGATAAAATATTTATAATCAATCGGTCAGTCTAAAAAAAAAAGAACAAAACATCTTCAGCTTCTTGTAGTTCGTGTTAATTGCGGTGTCTTGTTATCCCGGTGCGAGCCAAAATAGAACCTTTTACATCAAACCAGCTGAGTACAGGTAGATGTGCAGCAGTAAATAGCTAGAAATTTATCTTCCAGTTTGTATTAGTGAATGGAGCAGAGTACCAACATTCCCTTTAAAATTAACAAAACTATTTCAGACCATGATAATAATTAAAATCATATTCCGTCAGTAAAACTAACAGGATCAAAAATGATAAACATTAGAATGAAAAATGAAATATGTTTAAAGCCGTTATATAAAAGGGATTAATGAAAATCGTTTCCTTAGTAAAAACCAGTTTCAAATCACTTCTGACTAAAGAATGAAAAAAGAATCAGGTTTATTCGAGAACGAGAATATTATTCAGGACGACTTTGTAAAATTTACAAAGGGTAATATAACCCACCCATGGCACCTGCTTAATAGATGGGGTTATTAATTCATAAAACAGGCAATGCCATAAATTCGTATTTACATTTAAAGTCTTCGTTATCCTAAATTAGCTCATTCAAATGTTGGAAATTCACCGGCCACTATCATGCTGCTGCTGCCACTCTTTTTCGTTTTTCCTTCTTTGTTAGAATTGATGTTTGCCATGCAAAACAGCGCTCTCTATCGATATCCAACGGACCGTGTGTCGTTTGGTAAATTCAAGCGCGATGCCTTCTACTACCAATGGGAAGAAAAACTTACAGCGTCCTTAGTGGAAGATCCGTTGGACTGCACTTTCCTTTGTGTTGGTGATCCAAAGTGTTATTCATTTAACATTGCAGCGTTTTCTGACCCCAATGGTCTTTATATTTGTGAGTTGTTGGCCACTGACAAGTACAGAGCAACAGGGAAGTTATTTTCGAATGCCACATTCCATCATTTTAGTCCTTCGGTAAGCTCTCCTCGTGTATTCGCTGATTTCACGCATATTTTATCAAATTAAAATAGGAATAGATATAAATGCATTATTTAAGATACAGTCTCTCTCTATTCAGTCTCCATGTGAAAGCGCACCTTGTAAGAACGGTGGTGTCTGTGTTCCTGAATATAAGTGGAACTCCTATCATTGTGACTGTAAGTCTGGATTCTGTGGCGCTCACTGCGAACCTAGAGGTACTTAATATATCTCTTTCATTTTTATTCTGCATGTAGCGTAACATATGTAAAAATACTGTTGTTAGGATAATACCTTCTTCTTTTCCTTTTGATTGCTACTTTTAGAAGATGACCAAGTTCATCCTTGACAAATGAAAGTTTTTCAACGCAACCATTTAATTTCTCTTTAAAACCGTCCATAGTCAATTTCCTGGTTTTAATAACAATTCCGACAAGAATTGAAAGACCGCTCTGTTCTATTGTTTTCTTTTTTGTCTCTAAGGAGATAGAACCTGCAGTGAGACCAAAAAGCGTAATCTTCCAAGTGGCTCCTACGTCATCGACCCTGACGGAGAGGGCGGGGAGAAACCTTTCAAAGTCTACTGTGACATGACTGACAACGGTGGTGTTGGAGTGACAGTTGTCGGTCATGACAGTGAAAACAGAACACAGGTAAACGGGTTTGATAGCGCTGGAAGTTATTCGCGCAATGTCACTTACCGTGGAGCAACTATCTTTCAGCTGGCAAGTCTAACAGCTTCATCTGCTCACTGTGAGCAGTTTATAATGTACGAGTGCTATCATTCGAGGCTCCTTTACAATAATCGTCCTATGTTCGGCTGGTGGGTGTCGCGTGACGGTGAAAAGATGAAGTACTGGGGAGGGGTCGACTCTGTACCATACAAATGCGCATGCGGTTTGAACAACTCATGCGCAAACCCAGGATATGGATGTAACTGCGACAAAAACGACAACGTAAAACGAGAGGACAGCGGCTTCCTCACCGACAAGTCTAAGCTTCCTGTTACGCAGTTGAGGTTTGGAGATGCTTCAGGTGCGCCTTATGAAATCGGAAGTCACACACTTGGAAAGCTTAGGTGTTATGGACTCATCTAAGACTCGCAAACAGGGCAGTCATCGTATGCTCGATCTATCTTTGTAGAGAGGCATGTAATTTAATATTCCCTCAGAATTTCCTATGAAAGTTGTGAAATAAAGAAAACAGCTAAGCTTACTATCGCACCTTCGCTCCAGTAACTGCCGGAGTTAATGAAAGATTCATATGTCAAATGATGTTTTTAATTTTGTTTAAAAATAAAAAAAGGAATAAGTTTAAATAAGTAAGTAAACACACTAAAACATTTTATCTGAATACCTTTCGCCGATATAACTTATATTACCAGTAACGGTCTAGTTGTTGGGTTTTTTGTCACTTTCCTTTAATAAACTTGCTATATGTTAACTGAAAGCTCGAATAAAATTGTATCCTCGGATGGTGGGGTGAGGCGGCTCATTTATTCATAGAGGCTGTATCTAAGTTTTTGCGGTAAAAATGATATAGGTTTTCCCCTCCTTTCGATGTCAGATTTGATTCAGACTTGAGCCCATTTGGTCCGGAGTCAAGGGAGTTAGTGAACACCTCGAGGATCTAAAATCGGTCCCGGAATTGGGTGTGATGCAAGCTGGCGAAACCTCTTTTTCTGACCATGGTTATTCTGTCGTTTAATAAACTGGTTCACATCTAAAACAGGTCATGAAAACGTTTAAAAAATATGGCAAACGCTTCTAGTAAACCCGATTTTTGGAGCAGATAATCCTGATCCATGATCAAAAATCCAAACACATTTTTGTGTTTTAGTAATGCTATTATTTTCATTTTTTGGTCTTTTTATTTTTTTTTTAATCAACTTCCAGTTTCTCGCATGTTAGGTAACCAGGATTGACGAATATTGGTTCAATTTTTTCTTTTGTTAGTGTTCGAAAACTACTTAACTGGGAATGTTCTAACTAAGTGCTGAGATAGGGCTTGATTCGCGACCTCAACTAGAATCCTCAACGAGAGTTTTTTCTTTAGGTTTTGGTTCTCGAAGAGTGGTTGTTATCAACTACTTTGTTGTTCATTTCGAATGTCTTGTAAGATTGTTTAGGTTAGTATTCTAAAAATGTATTTACTCTGCCAAGTCAGTTGTCCTGTAAGCCCAAACATGCCATCCGATAGGATATTTAAGAGAGTGTACTAAGAGCTCAGTTAGTAGAAGAGAGACAGAGTCTCAGCGAGTACAATAAAAGTTCCTGAACAGACTTCTGGTGCCTCTCGTTTGTGCATGGCGTTCAAGCCACTATATCCCACCAGTCCGACACTTTATTCATAAATAAGGATAATCAACGATGTTGGTACTGTTTTTCAATTCATCAGAAAAAGCGATGGAAGTAAGGTGTTGTTTTTTAAAATGATAATTAATTAATCGTAAGAGGTAAGCTTTGCATGAAAAATTGCAATTTATTTTTAAGGTTTTCAATTTCCCCTGTCGAATATCTTAATTTCAAAAATAAAGAACATTCCAAATGAGGAATACCGTTGAATTTATCCAGCGTTTCGATGTTGCTAACATCATTATCAAAGACTGTTTTATCGCGGAGCGAATATAATTTATTATACATTCTCTTACGTCATAACTACTGACAATAGATTTTATATCTAGAAGTGACGTCATACCTACAGACAATAGGCTTATGTGCCCTTTTCTTTACAAGTGCAGCTCAGGAATATACATAATAAACAATTCTTGGATTCGGTTTTCACATGATAGCGATAATTATCAAGGCCTCAGTTTGTGTTATTCGCTTCAGCCTTAGGCTTCGGCAGATAACAAAAAACTTTGGCCTTGATAATTATAGGTATCATGCGAAGAATTGCTAATTAGTGGAACTAGAATAATAGACATTTGCATGTGATCTCACTTAATAGTTTCGCGCGGATAGAGTCAGTTTTGCACTTTCAGAATTGGCTT